TCACTGTAGATCATACCTATCTTTATAGTGTGTGTGGTACATCATCACAAAAATCTACATTTAATACTGCTCACTGTAGATCATACCTATCTTTATAGTGTGTGTGGTACATCATCACAAAAATCTACATTTAATACTGCTCACTGTAGATCATACCTATCTTTATAGTGTGTGTGGTACATCATCACAAAAATCTACATTTAATACTGCTCACTGTAGATCATACCTATCTTTATAGTGTGTGTGGTACATCATCACAAAAATCTACATTTAATACTGCTCACTGTAGATCATACCTATCTTTATTGTGTGGTACATAGTGTGTGTGTGTGTGGTACATCATCACAAAAATCTACATTTAATACTGCTCACTGTAGATCATACCTATCTTTATAGTGTGTGTGGTACATCATCACAAAAATCTACATTTATTACTGCTCACTGTAGATCATACCTATCTTTATAGTGTGTGTGGTACCTCATCACAAAAATCTACATTTAATACTGCTCACTGTAGATCATACCTATCTTTATAGTGTGTGTGGTACATCATCACAAAAATCTACATTTAATACTGCTCACTGTAGATCATACCTATCTTTATAGTGTGTGTGGTACATCATCACAAAAATCTACATTTAATACTGCTCACTGTAGATCATACCTATCTTTATAGTGTGTGTGGTACATCATCAAAAAAATCTACATTTAATACTGCTCACTGTAGATCATACCTATCTTTATAGTGTGTGTGGTACATCACAAAAATCTACAAATACTGCTCACTGTGTGGTACAGATCATACCTATCTCACTGTTCATTGTGTGTGTGGTACATCATCACAAAAATCTACATTTAATACTGCTCACTGTAGATCATACCTATCTTTATAGTGTGTGTGGTACATCATCACAAAAATCTACATTTAATACTGCTCACTGTAGATCATACCTATCTTTATAGTGTGTGTGGTACATCATCACAAAAATCTACATTTAATACTGCTCACTGTAGATCATACCTATCTTTATAGTGTGTGTGGTACATCATCACAAAAATCTACAGTTAATACTGCTCACTGTAGATCATACCTATCTTTATAGTGTGTGTGGTACATCATCACAAAAATCTACATTTAATACTGCTGTGGTTATAGTGTGTGTGGTACATCATCACAAAAATCTACATTTAATACTGCTCACTGTAGATCATACCTATCTTTATAGTGTGTGTGGTACATCATCACAAAAATCTACATTTAATACTGCTCACTGTAGATCATACCTATCTTTATAGTGTGTGTGGTACATCATCACAAAAATCTACATTTAATACTGCTCACTGTAGATCATACCTATCTTTATAGTGTGTGTGGTACATCATCACAAAAATCTACATTTAATACTGCTCACTGTAGATCATACCTATCTTTATAGTGTGTGTGGTACATCATCAAAAAATCTACATTTAATAGTGTGTGTGGTACTCACTTTATAGTGTGTGTGGTACATCAATATATGTAGATCACTATCTTTATAGTGTGTGTGGTACATCATCACAATTCTACATTTAATACTGCTCACTTTATATAACATAGTGTGTGTGGTACATCAACAAAAATCACATTTAATACTGCACAGATCATATCTTTATATGTGTGTTACATCAAATTAAAAATGACACACACTCACACCCGGAGCACTAACATGAAAATTCTTGACGTCACCCGACGTCAAAAGTATAACACGAGTACGTGTAACTTTTCTTAATAAAGTCACCATTTATCTCAATAAATTTCTGATGTCGCTTTAACCAGTCAAAAATATGTGTGTGCACAAAATGTTCAGGTTTATACGTAAATAATATATAACTGTGTGTGGTCTCATATCCTGCATTTGTCACTGTAGATCTCCATCCGCGTAAAAAACGATTTTTTTACGGAAATACGGTAAAGTGTGTGTGGAAGTTCATTTTTTACAGCCCTGCAATCTCTTTATAGGATGTGATGGTTTTTTTTTTAACGCATGTCATCCTGTAATACTGTGTGGTACTTCCGTCCGAAAATATTATATGCCACTTAAATAATAATGTACGGCTTCTTTTACTATGTTTTTCCCAATTGTTTATAAAATGTATTGGTCTTTGTAGTTGTTTTATCCGATGTCTATGCAGAATTTTATCACTGCTCACTGCTCCACCTTTTCCAAAAATATCCCTTTTTTGAACAATTCTGATCCGTCATAATATGTTTTAAACTTTGATTGCTCAGCCATTTAACAACTTTGAATTTTCAAATTTTGCAGGTTTAAAGTGATTACTTCTGTCAACCTCATAATGTAAAAGTCATCCAGATTTATGCAGAATTTTATAAAATTCAAATGAAATTTATAACGTGATAAATAATTTTTTTATCGAAATTTCGCGTGTGTGTGGTACATCATACCAAGTCTGATTACGAAGTCATAATTGTAATTAAACATTTGAAATGGTGTGGTAATCCGATTTTACATTTCCCAGTTCACATTTAGTAAAGTGTGGAAATATCACTAATGATAAATATCAATGACGCAACATTTATTTAATTCTTAGTCTGTCCACGAACTTTACGGACAACCCTCGTATCTTTATAGTGTGTGTGGTCCATCATCACAAAAATCTACATTTAATACTGCTCACTGTAGATCATACCTATCTTTATAGTGTGTGTGGTACATCACGAAAATCTACATTTAATACTGCTCACTGTAGATCATACCTATCTTTAATGTGTGTGTGGCATGTCATCACAAAATCTACATTTAATGCTGCACAAAATTGTCACTGTATGGATTAAGATATGATGAAAATCAAATTTTACTGTGATTTAAGATGATATTTTATTTCATAAATTGTATAATACTTGAAATGGCAGACATGTTTTCATAGCACAATCTACATGATCTATGATAATTTTAAAAATCTTTAGTATTTTTATTAGGTCACCTGAGTAAACTCAGGTGACCTATTACTATCCGTTTTCGTCCGTCGTCGTGCGTCGTGCGTCGTCCGTCGTCCGTCGTGTGTTAACACTTGAACATTTTCAGCTTCTTCTCTGCAACCACTGAACCAATTTCAGCCAAATTTGGCACAAAACATCTATCGGTTAAGGGAAACAAAAATGGTGAATTTCATGATCCCTGCCCCCCTGGGGCCTGAGGGGTTGGGCCAAAACCACTAAAAATAATGCAATCTTTAAAAATCTTCTTCTTTACTCCTGGACATCAAGCAGTCAAACTATTTGCATAATTGTAATCAGCATTGAGTCCTCTACCAAAATTGTGAAATTCATGGCCCTCGGGGCAGGGGTTCTACTGCTAGGGCGGGGCTAAATAAGTATACAGTGAAAATGCATTATTTCTTTGAAAATCTTCTTCTCTTTTCCTGGGTATTAGATCAACCAACTAAGTACATAGTTATGATGAGCAAGAGTGCCTCTACCAAAATTGTGAAATTTATGGCCCCAGGGTCAAGGATTCTGGTGTTGGGGGGGCTATATTGATTATATTGTGAAATACATGAATTCTTTGAAAATCTTCTTTTCTGCTCCTAGGTATTAAATAAACTAACTACGTGCATAGTTATGATGAGCAAGAGTGCCTCTACCAAAATTGTGAATTTTATGGCCCCAGGGTCAAGGGTTCTGGTGTTGGGGAGGGGGGGGGGCTCTATTGATTTTATAGTGAAATACATGAAGTCTTTGAAAATCTTCTTCTCTGCTCCTAGGTATTAAATAAACTAACTAAGTGCATAGTTATAATAATGAGCAAGAGTGCCTCTACTAAAATTGTGAATTTTATGGCCCCAGGGTCAAGGGTTCTGGTGTTGGGGAGGGGGGGGGGGGGCTCTATTGATTATATAGTGAAATACATGAAGTCTTTGAAAATCTTTTTCTCTGCTCCTAGGTATTAAGTAAACTAACTACGTGCATAGTTATGATGAACAAGAGCGCATCTACCAAAATTGTGAATTTTATTGCCCCAGGGTCAAGGGTTCTAGTGTTGGGGAGGGGGGAGGCTCTATTGATTATATAGTGAAATACATGAATTCTTTGAAAATCTTCTTCTCTGATCCTAGGTATTAAATAAACTAACTACATGCATAGTTATGATGAGCAAGAGTGCCTCTACCAAAATTGTGAATTTTATGGCCCCAGGGTCAAGGGTTCTTGTGTTGGGGGGGGGGGGCTCTATTGATTATATAGTGAAATACATGAATTCTTTGAAAATCTTCTTCTCTGCTCCTAGGTATTAAATAAACTAACTACGTGCATAGTTATGATGAGCAAGAGTGCCTCAACAAAAATTGTGAATTTTATGGTCCCAGGGTCAAGGGTTCTGGTGTTAGGCCAGGGTTCTATTGATTTATATAGTAAAATACATTCATTAAATTTTCTTCTCTGTCTCTGGGTATGAAGTAGATGAATTAACTATATAGTTATGATGAGCAAGGGCCCTAATCTTGCAGAATTGTGTATTTTAAGGCACCAGGGTCAGGGGTTGGGGGGGGGTTCTGCTTATTTACTGAAAATGAATTTATTGTTTGAAATCTGCTCCTTTGTATTTATAAAACATTTATGTATTTTTTTAATAGGCAATTTTAAGGGTGCCTTTTAAAAATTTGTGCAATGTTTGGACCTAGGGTCAGGGGTTTATATCACCATGTTAGGGGCACTACTGATTATTGCTGAATATTACTGATTACTTGGAGTGCATTTTTGTTCCCCTATCCTGCGTATGGGTATTCAGTTACCAAGCTAAGCAACTGTTAGGTGTATTGTTATGATGATCAATTGTGCCTCTTTCAAAATTGTGAATGCCATATAGCATCTGGCTTAAAACATGAATCAAATTCAATACACTGTAACTGGAAAGTTGTTGCATAATGCTCAGGTGACCTATAAGGCCGTGGGCCTCTTGTTATGAATACACGGTTATTTTAATCTATCAATATTTTCATTTTAGATATACTCCCTTTGAGAATAATTGGACCCTGCACTTCACAGAGACAATGAAAGAATTCAGAAGCCAGTGTTAAGGTTTTATATTTGTGTTAATTTAATTAATTGTGAACAGAGACAAGTTATTGTTCTAGATTTAATTATAAGAAGTATATTAAGATAAAGTATTGATCTAAAACATTTAATGTTTACAGAGAGACATATTACTGAT